AGGATCCAAGAGAATCATCAGAGCTTTTATTAATAATCACATTAAGGATGTGTTCTTTCAGGTGGTTTTCATGTCCACAGTACACTTGATTATTCCCCAATAATCCTGCCTAAGAGCTGATGAAATGGATGACATCACTTTCCTTTCCTTGGGATAAAGGAGCCAGCAGAGAATTGTCTGACTGCCTTGTCAAACACTCTGCTGCTGGCATTACTACCTCATTCACTTCAGTCTGCAATTTTAATATCTGTTAAAGACTTCCACCTCCAAGAAAGGCAGCTTCCCCAGCTCCCCAGCTCCTCATTAACTCTTTGACACGAGAATTCAGTGATTTTACAGCCACACCAGAGACAATGATGAAAGCAAGTTAAAAATGGTTGTGACTTCCTTAACTTGCTTTTCACTGTTTATTCTGAGATTAACCCCAAAGTGACCACTCCAATTTTAGGGTTTTTTTTTAAGGATCAATGCAAGGCTATATTTCTATATTTGTTATAAAGGAATAAATACCCACAGTTCTGTGGATTTCTATATTTATGTGTTGAACATCAGCCTTAAGGAATGGCCATTAATGCCCTTGGGAGGCTGGAGATTCAGGCTGAAGGAGCAGGATTTGATCTCCAATAAAAGCCTCTTTCTGAGGGGGTGATGGATGATGTTTCACACACCTCCAGCACATTTTCAAATAATAGCTTGTGAAAAGGAAAATAAATCTAGTGAAGAGCAGGAGCATCTATAAATCAAGGGCAAAGCTTTCCCCCAGTGCTGCCATAATTCACCATCTGCCCAGCAAAGCTCCTTCCCACACCTGCCCCAGAAAGCAGCCAGGACCAAATCCAAGAATAAAATCCTTTCTCAGCACACTGTGCATTCTTAAAGAGCTCACAAGGGACTTCTTCCCTCACTGCTCAATGCTTTCTGTTCTCCTGCACTAAGAAATGTTTCTGAGTTTTCCTTTCCACAGCAGGCACCTCAAAAAGAACATTTTCATTTTTTGCTTTTTCTCTTTTGCCTTATTTTTTCATTATTTGCTTTTCTGGAGAAAAGCAAAAAATAAATCAATTTGATGAGTTTTTGGAAAAGCAGACAAGAAGATGCTTTCAAAATGACCCATTAAATGTTCAATACTGATAATCTGACATTTCCATAAGGAGGTAACTTAAATACTGTGATTCAGGACATTAAAAACTGGATGTGAAACTAAATGTGGCCAGAATTTTAAGCTTTGTGAAGACATTACCACAGTTCATTAGGACTGCTTTTTATTTTGTAAATATTTATTTCTTGCTGCATTTCACCTGCAAAAATCCCCCCTTAATAATTCTAGCTCAGAAGCATCTGTAGGACGATTATTTTCCAATAAACCACACAGAAAATGCAGGGTTTGAAGTGCAAATTTGTAATTTGACCCATTAAATCTTCAATACTGATAATTTGACATTTCCATAAGGAGCTAACTCACATTAAAAACTGGATGTGAAGCTAAATGTGGCCAGAATTTTAAGAAGACATTACCACAGTTCATTAGGACTGCTTTTTAGTTTTGTAAATATTTATTTCTTGCTGCATTTCACCTGCCTTAATATTCTAGCTCAGAAGCATCTGTAGGACGATTATTTTCCAATAAACCACCCAGAAAATGCAGGGTTTGAAGTGTAACTTTGTAATTTACTCACAGGTTTGGAAGGAAATGTGAAAAGGGAGTGAGGCCAGTGCAGAGGGCTCTGCTCTCAGATGCTTTGACAATACTATTGCACTGCTCTCTGTATAGCACAGTAGTGCAATAAAGTCAGAGCACTCGTTAGCAGCAACAATTCTGGGCAACAATCAACCACACACTCACCAAAAAAAGGGCAAAAAACCCACATCAGCTCAGCCAGAGGTTTCTGTGGATGGGGAAGAGCTGGATAAGGTTAAAGCTCATCAAATCCTAACAGGCACACACACAAAAACCATCATTATTATTATTATTATTTTTATTATTCAGAATCTGCCATTCCACTGATCATGAGAGGGGAAAAAAACCCCAACCACGCAACAAAACTCTCAAGAGATCTGCCAGAAATTCAATTTCCAACTATTTGGTGCCTTCTAAACTGGAAATTCCATTTCCAAGCGTATTTATTGCTTGGATTTGCCTCACAGCAAGCTAAGGTTCCAAACTGCCATCAGACAGATGTTGCTAAACTGCATTACAGGGAACACCTTCTAGACAGCAGGGTTTATTCTTTATCATTTCCAGTGCTGAATCACAGGAAAATGCACTTTAAAACTCCAATAAATGCACTTAAACACCCCTTGCCCAGCTCTGGGGATGGCCTTTACCAGTGGGGAGTGAGAACACCAGCACAGGGAGGGTGTGAGCCAGAAATGTCAGTGATTATTGGGATTTTTAACACTTATTGAGAGCTGGAGAGCTCTCAGCTTTGGGAGCTGCTGAGATATTTTACAAAACACCAAGAAACCTGGGAATGGAGTGGAGAAAGGGGATTTTTGGGGATGTACACAGAGCTGAGTGACCTGGGCTATTTCTAAGACAGAGATGATGGCATTTGTCATTAAATGGCCAATGTTTCTCCTTAAAAACAGGGAAAAAAAACCTCATTTTACAATCTCATTTTACAGCTGTTTTGTGGTCTCAGACAGATTTTGGGCCTGTATATGATTAAAAAGAATAGAGAATAATGCAGATTGTATTGCTGGCCAATGCCCTTTTAACATTGCACTGCTTTTTGTGCATCATCACCAGTAGTACAACATAAAAAGGGCACTGGACAGACACGACTCAGGGCCAGAGGAGGTGCAGGATCCCAAAAAGCAGTGCCAAAAATGAACTGAACTGCCCTGAATGAAGCACTGCCAGCTCTGTGATCTTTTCCATAATTAATCTAACACTCTTACAGTGCTCCTGTCACAAATAACCATTGATTACCTGGTTGATTTTATTATTCTCATACCTATTTTTCTCTTCAAGCTCCCAGTAATTACTTTATCCCTGCTTCCAAAAGGGAGCTTTCCATGAAATTCATGTCAGAAGCTCCAGGGAAATAAGAAGTGTTATTTTATCACACTTCTGTGGAGAGAGCTGACTTCACAGGAAATCCAGGACGGGAAACAACAAAGCAGAAGGGAAAGGAGGAGACACAAAGCTGTGAGATGTGAGATTATTCTAAATTCCAGAATAAAAGCCCCTGTTAGCTTAAAGGGGGCAAAAACACCTCTCTGTTCACACGTCCTAAAATGAGAATCAGTTGAAAGCATGACTTTCAATGAACCATGACAATAAATAAATTCAATAATTAAACATCTAACCCAAGTATCTTTAATCATATTTCTAAATTAAACCAGGCTTCAGAAAAAATACAGAATGCTAGATATGGGAAGATCAAGCTTACACTGTGGGCAAAAATGGAAAAAATACTTTGTAGCAAGAAGGTGAAGGTTTGAGGGACGGCACGAGGAACTCGGCTGGTTGGACACCGCTTCCCAGAGCCCTCCCGCGTGAGGTAAAAAATGAAGCTCTCTGTTGGAAAAGGAGAAAAAGGAGGAAAAAACCTCCTTTTTTCCACTTTTCCAAGAGTGGGGCTGGGAGAGAGGCCGTCATTCCCTGAGGGGCAGCCCCGTGGAACGGAGAGAAAAGCGGGGAAAACTCCGCGATTTTGGGGCTCAGCCCCTGAGGGCTGAGGGGCCATCGCCCCGCTCCCCCCGCGCGCCCGCGCCAATGGACCAGCCCAGCCCGCCTCTCCCCCCCTCCGTAGCCACAATGGTCCAGCCCAGGTGAGCGCTCCACCCTGACCCCCCTCTGAGAAAAAATGGACTAGTCCGGGATCTCCGCTCTGCCCCCCCCTCCCGCCGCGGGCACATGGAGCGGCCCGGCCCGGCCGCGTCCCCCCGCGAGGCGGGCAATGAGCGCGCCCACCCCCCGCCCCCCCCCCCCAGGTGCGCGGGAAATGGCCGCGCCCTGCCCCGCGCTGAGGGGTGAATGGAGCGGCGCAAGCCCCGCCCCTCGAGGGGGCTGGGGGGGGGAGCGGAATGGACCGGCCCGGCCGAACCCGCCTGACCCGGACGCGGCCGGCGGGCGCCCCGTCGAGGGCGGCGCGGGCCGCTCTCAGGGCCCGGATGGGGAACGCGGGCGCGGCTGAGGGGCCGCTCTTCCGTCGCGCCGCGCCCGCGCGCCCGCTTCTCCCTCCCTTCCTCCCTCCCTTCCGCGGCGGCCCCGCGCCCTCCGAGGCGTCGCCGCCGCCGGCCCGCGGCGCGGCCGCCCCTCAGCGCGGCCGCCGCCCGCCCTCACCAGGGTCTCGAGCCTGGTAACCGCCGTCTCCATGTTGAATAGTTGACATTCCTCAGGCGGCGGCGGGGAGATCCCCACCCCCCGCGCCGCGGCACGGGAGAGTCGGCGGCGCCCATTGGCCAGCTGTCACTCGCCGCGCGCCTCCCATTGGCTGGCGGCTCGCGGGGCGCGCTCGCCATTGGCCCGCGGAGAATGTAAACCCGCTCCGAGGTACGGCCGAGCCCATTGGCCCGGAGTGGGCTCCGGCCGTGATTGGCCGGGGCGGGGCGCGCGGCGCTGGCGGGAAGCGGCGCTGGCCGGTCCGCTGCGGCCCTGAGGGGGCGGCGCCGCCGCTCCTCCTCCCCGGTTCTCTCCCGGTCGCGCCGGTAGCGCCGGCGGGGCCGCTGCTCGCTCGGTTCACCCCGCTGGCCTTCCCCAGCCGAGCGCTGCCCGCAGCCGATTGGCGGCACCGAGCTCGCTCGTCCAATGGCGGCGCCGCTCGCCTCAGCGCGGCCGGGCCGGGGCGGGGCAGCGCCGGCCCCTCTCCCGTGGAGCGCGGGCGCGCCTCGGCGCGGGGGCCAATCAGCGCGCGGCTTACATGCGGCGCGTGGGGGGGCCGGCAGAGAGCGGCGCTGCCATTGGCTGGCGTGGCGCGGGGAGCGGTTTGAATCGGCGGCGGCGGCGGCGGGCGTGGAGCGCGGCCCGGGGGACGGGGCGGCCCCGGGACACCCCCACAGGTGTGTGCCGATGTATGTGTGAGTGAGAGAGAGAGAAATCCCCGCTCTCGGTGCGGGGTCCCGGGTGAGCGGGGCTGGGGTGTCACCGATCACCGGTCAGGGACCGCCCCGGGCGGCCCCCGGCATCCTTCCGTGGCTTCTCCGTGTCTTTTGTCACCGTTCTCCCCAAGCGTCGTTTTCCCCAAATTGAGTGCTTGGCACGCCAGCGTAACGAAAAATTGAACATCCGTTTATTTTTATTGTGCTTACATATTAATAGTTGCAACGTTTTTATTTAGTTGATAGTATTTCTAATTACTTTCTTGTTTATTTACGCTTATTTATAGTATTATTTATAGTGTTTTACACGTGTACTTATTTAACTAATTCATATTTTATTGTATTTATAATAGCTATTTATTAATGCTATGATACAAATAGAAGAGGGGAGGAATAAGCCCATATAAAACGGTGTTTTCTGTGTGCAAACACATCCCCATGGATCATATGAAATTAAGGGGGTATTTTCTATCGCTGGTCCATGATCATTCCACCAAGGCAGCTGTGAGTAACCTCTGTCTGTATTTCCGAGGTGCTGCCTGTGCTATTCTCTTTGGTGGCAGCTCTGTCCCAATGTATAATTTGATTTCTCTCTCTCCATCCGTTTGCAATGTGTCTTTTTCTCCAGTAATGGCAAGGTATAAGAAATGCAAACGAAAACGAAGAGCCCGAGCGAAATTTCGAGTGGAAAAGAAGAGAAATGCTGCAACTCCCCAGGGCTCAGTTTGTCCCTCTCCACGGTAAGAGGCTCTGCTTGAATTTTGCCTTCTCACCCCATCCCTGGGTTTGCTGTTTGCTCCCAATGGCTCGTGGAAAAGAGGCAAAGATTTGATACCATGGCACTCCATGGTATCTTTTGGTGTGACCTTGGAGATATTTTCCAACCTTAATGTTTCTATGATTAATAACCAGGAAAAGCAATTTTAATAAAAAAGTATTTTCAATAGAATTTTTCCCCACCCTTTATTGAAATGTATCTTGGCCTTTCTGTGATCACATTTGCTCTGTTGTTACCTGCTTGTAATTTCCACATGATTGGTCACAGTTACTTTATTAAAAGCTGAGTTGATAAACAGAATTCTGGCCTTGTTCTATTGCAGGTCACCAGCTCATGTCCCTCTGAACTCATCACCAATCCCAAAGTGCTCCCACTGGCCTTTAGCCTTGCCCAGTGTAAAAAGTGTGGTCAGACCCTTGACAACAGCAGCATCATTTGTGTATTGGTGGTGCCAGAGCAGGGTTGCACAGGTAGATCCTTTCTTTGATATTGGATTTTTCTGTTTTAAGCAGGGATCAATGGTGTTTACTAAGTGGGAAATATTTCATTGTACCAATTTTTTTCTGTTCTGTTCCTACCCCTCCTAAAAATCAGATTGATCTTCAGAAACATCTGAAGAAAATCAACACACAAATACACATAATCTGTTTCTTTTTATGCTTAGAGCTTCCAGGCGGTTAAAGACACCATATTTCCATCACAAGTCTACTTAAGGGAACTAAATACATTCAGGGAGAAACTGGAGAAGTTGGAAAGCGAATTTTCCAAGCTACAAGGAGCCCTCCAGGTCAGTCTCAGTCCAGCTGGGGCAGGGTAACATTTGTTTGTGTGAGGATGAGGAATTGTGCTCAGTGCAGATGCTCTGAGGTCTGAGCAGCCCCTCAGGGGCATTCTGTTCACTCAGAGCTGCAGAGCTTCTGCTGCCTCACAGCAGGAGGGACCTGTTTGTATCTTTACAAAGCTCAGCCTTAGCCAGCACCTTGGTTCTTTAAAACCCCACCTTTTTCTGGTGGATTTAATGTTCTCTTTATTTATTTCTGTCGCTTTCAGATGAACAACGCGGCAGCTCTGTCCTCAGAAAGTTCCCTTTGCCAGAGGTGTCACAAGCCAGTCCTGGGTGCTCCTGTGGGGACACAGAGGGATCCTCCACCCTCAGCATCCGTGCCTGTGTCCATCCCTCCTCCTCCTCTTCCTCCTCCTCTTCCTCCTCCTCCTCCTCCTCCTCCTCCACCGCCGCTGCCTCCACCAAAACTGCCTGCAGCTCCTCTCCTCCTCCAACGGGGCACAGCCTCTAAACTGGTAGGGAATCAGAAGGTTCCTGTGTTTTTTATTTCATGCCTGAGTTCCTTTTGGACCTGGATTCATCAGCACATCACTCTGTGAGTGCTCAGTCACTTCCCCTTCCTGATTTCCCCCTTTGCTTCCAGGCAGCACCAGTGAAAAAGGATGGGCCCATGCACATCACCCTCAAAGACCTCCTGAATGTTAAACTGAAGAAGACAAACAGCAACCTGAGAATGGACAAGGTAAACTGGGAGGTGAATCAAGGGAAAACCCACCCTGGAAGTGCTGTATTTCCTGCTTTATTCTTTAATGAATTGATTCTCATCCAAATACCCAGTGATCAGTTTCTAGTGACCATTCTGATTCTGCACCTGGGCTCTGGAAGGGAAGGAATAAAGTGACAAACTCCAATCTCACCTGGCACTCCTAATTTTACATTAAGGTCATGGAACTTTCATGCAGCTTTGTGTGTTATCAGTAGATTTTTTGGAGTCCTTTTGCCCAGCTGGAACCTTTTTGCAGGAAAAAAACCCCTTGTTTAGGTTTTTTTTTGTTGTTGTTTTTTCCTAAATCTATTTTTATCCAAGGCACATTCGAATCTTAATAATTCAAAAAAAGTATAAAAGCCATAAACCACAAAAATCTTTCAGATTTATTAAACATTAAATGGATTTCAGGGTAGTGAGACCTTCTGAAGTTTTATTTGAGGTAACATTTCTTTCCTTGCTGTAGGAACAATCACCAGTGAAGCCACGCAGGGCATTAATTACAGTCACAGATCTACAGAGTGTTAGCCTGAGACCTAAATCCAAGCCATCACCTCATGCTACAAAATCTTTAATGTAAGATACTTTCTTCCTTGATTAGATATTAGATTCTTCTGTTTTAAACAGTGATTTGTGTTTTTTTACTGAGTGGGAAACATTTCATTGTACCAATTTCTTTTTTTCTCTTAGTACCTCCCCTAAAAATCAGATTGATCTTCGGAAGCATCTGAAGAAAGTCGATATACAAAGGTCTGTTCCTTTCTGTTCTCTTGAATTGTTGTTTTTAATCTAGAAAAACTAGAAAACCAGTCAAACCAGTCACAATTTGCCCTTGCAGAAGTCCTGGTGGCACTCCTCTAAACAGCAAAGAAAACACGGAATGTGGCTCTGGGCTGACCCCAATCATGACACGGGCACTACGGCGCAAATTCCAGGCAAGTCCCTCTGTCCCTCTTCATAAAGTGCCTTTACAATCACAGAATTCCCTACTGATTTAAGGGCTCTGCAGAATGGACATCCCAGGGCAGGTTATTTGACAATCCCAAGAGGAGGAATTGCTTTTTTGGTGGCCAGTGGGGTGCCTCAATGCAACTTTCAAAGCCATAGTTCCACTTTGCAGAAGAACAAAACGTGAGGGTGAATAGCATCTGTCATTTTACTGATTTCTTGTGTCTGTTTTAAGGTGCCAGCTAAGAATTGCACTGTTTTATCTCGGTGATAATGAGCTCAGATATCCAAGTTCTGACCCTTCCCTTCTTTTGACAGATGGCTCACCCGAAGAGTCCCTCTCCTGCACGGCTGAGTGCTGCAAACAGCTTTGATGAAAAGTGAAAAGGAAAGTAGATTTATGGAGCAATTTTCCATTTGTGGTCAGGAAAACACTTGAATCCCATTTTTATTACACTCAGGCACGTGTATTTGTAAGTAAATGTAATGCACAGGAAAACAGGGCATTATGAAACCCTGTAAAGCAGATTGTGTTTTTTTATCTCTCTCTAATGTCTGTCAATTTGGTTGCATCTTTATTCATAATGGAAAAAAAAAATAGGAAGTTGCCCAGGTCTTTTGACACCTGGGTGCTGCTGAATCAGGGACTATTATATTCCTAGCACTGGTGCTGCTTGTCATACAAATATGTATTTGCTGAAATTCAGTATTTCCATATCTTTTTTTAACAAAAAATATCTTGACGGTATTTGTACAGTTTCAAAGAAGAACAACACTTTAATGCACTAACGTTATTAAAGTGGAAAGCTGCAAGCTTCAACAAACGCTTTGAGTCTGTGCCTACAAACGTAAGAGGGCCCTTGCACTGTGTATCACTGCTGGCTGATCGCGATTAAACGGCTCCAAGCAATGCCTAAAGGCGATGAACTCAAAACTTCCTCCAAGTCACGGGGTGGGCAGAGCTTGTGCCCGTACCGGGCACGGTCCATGGGAGCTCCTCGGGCGCGATGGTGCCCACGGTGCCCACTGTGCTGTCACCCCCGGGCCGTGCCGTGCCGATCCTTGGGGGCGATGGGGACCCACGGTGCCTGCCGTGCTGTCACTCCCGGCCGTGCGGAGCCGACCCTCGGGGGCGATGGGGACCCGCGGTGCCGCCGTGCTGTCACTCCCGGCGCTCCCGGCTGTGCGGAGCCGACCCTCGGGGGCGATGGGGACCCGCGGTGCCCTCTGTGCTGTCACCCCCGGCCGTGCGGTGCTCGCCGTGCTGTCACCCTGGGCCGTGCGGAGCTCGCCGTGCTGTCACCCCCGGGCGGTCCCGCTGTGCTGTCACCCCCGGCCCTGCGGTGCCCACCGTGCTGTCACCCCCGGCGGTGCCGCCCCGCAGCGCCCGCCCCCCGTGCCCGTGTCCGCGCCCTCCGGGGCGGAGCCGCTCATGCGCGGGGCCGGGGCCGGGGCTCCGCCGCTTCCGGCCGGGAGCGGGGGCCGGGAGCGGGGCCGGGCGATGCCGCTGCCCGGGGCCGGGCCGCCCGGGGCCATGGGCACGGCCGTGGGGCCCATGAGCCTGCGGGAGCTGCTGCTGGCGGCCGAGGCGGGCGGCGCGGCGGGCGGCGAGGACGAGGTGTGCGTGGTGGGCATCTTCGGCAAAACCGCGCTGCAGCTCTGCTCCGAGAAGGAGGCCCTGGTGAGCACCGTGTGCGACCGGCAGGTGTTCCCGCTCTTCCCCGAGGAGGATCCCGAGCTGGCGGACGGCGCCGCGGGGCAGGAGGGGGACCCGGCCACCAAGGACTACAACCAGCTGCAGGCGTACTACAGCCAGGAGAGCCGCGTGCTGTACCTGGTGCTCACCTCCATCTGCGACACGCCGCAGCTGCTGCGCGCCTGCGGGGACCTGGCGGCGGCCGAGAACAGAGAGGCCGGGCCCGGCCACCCCTCCGGAGGCCCTGCCCCGCTGCCCCACGCCGAGGCGCACGAGTTCTGGAAGCACCAGGAGAAGCTGCACTGCCTGAGCCTCCTCTACCTCTTCTCCGTGTGCCACATCCTGCTGCTGGTGCATCCCACCTGCTCCTTCGACATCACCTACGACCGCGTGTTCAGGGCGCTGGACGGGCTGCGGCAGAAGGTGCTGCCCTCCCTGAAAGCTGCCATCAAGGACTGTCCTGTCGGCAAGGAGTGGAAGCTCAACTGCAGGCCATGCCCTCCACGCCTCCTCTTCCTCTTCCAGCTCAACGGGGCTCTGAAGGTGGATCCGCTGCCAAACAGGGGTCAGGACCCCTGTGGTCACCTGGAAAAGCCTCCTCCCAAGAAGCATTCCCCCAAGAGGAGGCTGCAGCACGCTCTGGAGGATCAGATCTACCGCATCTTCCGCAAGAGCCGGGTGCTGACCAACCAGAGCATCAACTGCCTGTTCACCGTGCCTGCCAACCAGGCTTTCGTGTACATCGTGGCTGGTGGGCCCCAGGATGGAGACGATCCCGTGGCCATGCTTCTCGACCAGCTCAGGAGCAACTGCACCATGAGAGAGACTGACTCGCTGCTGGCTCCCACCCTGTCGGGACCCAGGAGGTATCAGATGATGAGGCACGGCCGGCAGCAGCTCTCCTTCCATGCAGAGAGTAGCAGCTCCAGCTCCAGCTCCTCTGGGCAGCTCGTGGACTGCACCCTCAAGGAGTTCTTGTGGCAGCACGTGGAGCTGGTGCTCAGCAAGAAGGGCTTTGAAGACAGCGTGGGGAGGAATCCACAGCCCTCTCACTTTGAGCTCCCGACCTACCAGAAGTGGGTGGCAGCTGCTCTAAGACTCTATGAAGTGACCATCGAAGGCAAAGACGATGACCCGACCTGTGGCGAGCTGAGCTCAAAAATCATGAGCAGCATCAAAGTTTTGGAGGGCTACTTAGACATAGACACCAAGTTCTCCGAAAACCGTTGCCAGAAGGCTCTGCCCATGGCCCACAGCGCCTACCAGTCCAACCTGCCCCACAATTACACCATGACAGTGCACAAGAACCAGCTGGCCCAGGCCCTGCGTGTGTACAGCCAGCACGCCCGGGGCCCGGCCTTCCACAAATACGCCATGCAGCTCAACGAGGACTGCTACAAGTTCTGGAGCAACGGGCACCAGCTCTGCGAGGAGCGGAGCTTGACGGACCAGCACTGCGTGCACAAGTTCCATCTGCTCCCCAAAGCAGGTAAAGGTGCTCACTTGTGCTTTGGTTTCATGGTTTAGTTTTGTATCTGGGTTAAAAATGCCTTAGGCTGAGAGCACCGGCTCTGAAATGTTGTGGGAGGTGGAAGTTTGCAGCTTTAAAGCCAGATGTTCAAGGACTGGGTGTGGCACTCGGTGCTGTGCTCCAGCTCACAAGGTGGTGACCAGGCAAAGGTTGGACACGATGGTCTCAGAGGTCTTTTCCACCCCAGATGATTCTGTGATCATCTCTACAGTGGGATCATAGCAGAGCTGATGTGCAGGTTTCCTTTATGTTGAGTTTAGGAGCCAGTCCACTGTTAGTAGTAACTCTTACTCTGATATTCTGATTTTAGTAGTAACTCTGATTCTGTCTTACTAGCTAAAAACAATTACATTGGAGTCCTTCTAATGAGAGGAGCCTAAGAACAAAATTCTCTAAAAAGCATAAGCATCCCCCTTTTTTTTAAATAACCTGATTGATCAGGGAGTCAAAACTGACTTTTGCAGGTTTATTGCTGGCAGAAGAACTTTGATCTTTCAGGAAGAGGTTGTAAAAACAAATAAGATTCGGTTTAGTGGTATAACCTCCACTGGAACTTTGTATTATCAAAAGTGGGAAACGGAGGAGTTGCTTGACAAACATTTTGTATTTGTGTACAGCAGGGAGGGAGCAATGGATGAAGGGAATAAAGAAAGTTTCGAAGGGTGAGCAATTTGCCCAAGGTTTGATTGATTTTGCTTTTAGGGGAAAAGCCAGAAGCAGACAGAAATCCTCCGATTCTGTACCACAACAGCCGGGCTCGTTCCACGGGTGCCTGTAACTGTGGAAGGAAACAAGCTCCTCGGGAGGACCCCTTTGATATCAAAGCAGCTAATTATGACTTTTACCAGGTAACTCTTGGGTCTGTTGGTGCTTCAAGCAGTGCTTTTGTTCCATCTGCAGAGCCTGTATTCTGAAGTGACCACAAGTTTCCTCTTAACCTTACCAACAGTTTGCTTGGGGGACACGTTTCTGGGAGCAGAAATGGGCTGACCAGCATGGGCAGTTCCAGTCTTTACCACACACACAGGAGCACCAGTTAATGCACCTGCTTACACTTAGAATGTGTTGGTCCATGTGAATTCTAAATAATCAGGTCTGTGGGCCGTGTTCCCATCACTGCTTTGGTTCTCACGTGGTGCAAATGTCTTAAATCTTAATTATAGCTGCTGAATGTTGTGGCTCTGAGCTCCCTCATCTCGGGGTGGATACTAAACCACCTTTTCTTTTTTGCAGCTGCTGGAAGAGAAGTGCTGTGGGAAACTGGAGCACATCAACTTCCCCATATTTCAGCCAAGCACACCTGACCCAGCACCTGCCCGGGACGAGGCATCGCCCGCCCCTCCGGAGGGCGAGATGGAGAAACTCAAAGAGAAGGAGCCTCAGACTCAGGGAGAGAGCACAGGCCTGAGCTTAGCCCTGAGCCTGGGCCAGTCCACGGGCAGCCTGGGCACTTACCCACCCGATGCCCAGGGTGCAGGGGACAATGCAGAGAGCCACGGGCAGAGCGGGGACTCCAAGGGCGAGAAGAGGCCGAGCCTGGTGGATCGCCAGGCGTCCACTGTCGAGTACCTCCCCGGGATGCTCCATTCCAACTGCCCCAAAGGCCTTCTGCCCAAATTCTCCAGCTGGTCACTGGTCAAGCTGGGGCCTGCTAAGGCTTACAACTTCCACACGGGCTTAGATCAACAGGGTTTTATCCCGGGAACAAACTATTTAATGCCTTGGGACATTGTCATCAGGACGAGAACTGAAGATGAAGGAGATTTAGACACCAATTCCTGGCCTGCTCCCAACAAGGCTGTTCCTGGGAAAAGGAGCGCCGTGGTGATGGGAAGAGGCCGGCGCAGGGACGACATCGCTCGGGCTTTTGTGGGCTTTGAGTACGAAGATGCACGTGGGAGGAGGTTCATGTGCTCGGGGCCTGACAAGGTGATGAAGGTGATGGGAGGGGGGCCGAAGGAATCTGCCCTGAAAGCCCTCAACTCCGACATGCCCCTGTACATCCTGTCCTCGACGCAGGGACGGGGCCTCAAGCCCCACTACGCCCAGTTCATGAGGCTCTTCGTGGTGGTTCCTGATGCTCCCCTGCAGATCACCTTAACGCCTCAGGTAGGGAGTGCAGCAGGGAATCTGGGAACAGCAGAGGCACGGCTGGTT